ACCTTCAATCCGCTGTCTTCGCGCACTCCTAGGAATTGTACCTTGATTTCGAATTCAGTATCTGGAAATATTCCTTCAGCTACTGTAAACGGTCTTAGCACCCAGGCATTTAATTGGTGAGTTTCTAAATCAGGAAAATATTTGCTGATGGAATTCATCACTGATGAAAAGTGGCAAGATATTTCATTCGTGAATGCGCATTTTTCATTTCTTTCAACGAGCGCCGTCGTTAGTTCTGCAAATATCGCTACGTCGTCAACATCAACCGAGCGCTGGTAAAGCTGCAGTTTGCGAAGGAAACCGGCTACTCTATCCTGAGCGACTAAAATGTTCATCATATTCCCTTGCAGGCTGAGGTCAAGCGCATTGATTTCTCCAAAGAAATCAGCTAGATAGGCAAGTTTCGAAATAAACACGCTGTCCGTTATAATAACGTGTAACTGGTTTCCCTTACCCTTATGCATCTCTTTTCTTCGAAGAAAGATTGCACTTTCTTCTCTAAGCCGAAGCACTCGGTGCAACACCCTGCCTCGTGACAACCAACGCACTTCTGTGTGCAATAGTAGCACGTCGAATTTGCCTCCAAATTCATTGCACAACTCTTTGAAGATTATTGTGTGGGTCGCACTACCGCTGATGACATTTACTATCTTTACTACTTTGGTTAACATGTCAAGTAAAGCAGGTGGAAGAGTGCTCATTGCTAAAGCATAACGATGTATGATGAAGTGACTAAAGATAGCGTGCGGAGCAACATTTTTGATCAATGTTTGGAATCCGGAACGGACGCCCAATATGGCTGGTGCTCCGTCTGTACAGTCACCCACTAACTTCGACCACAGTAGCATGTTTTCCTCGAGGAACTTCTTTACTATTCGGAAGACATCTTCGCCACGCGTAGTCGTGCTCAAGGATTCTGAGAACAAGTACTCTTCTTTGAAGCTATCACTTTTTAGGTACCGAACATACACAAGTAGTTGGGAACAGGACGCTACGTCGGTCGACTAATCTAATTGGATTGCAAAGAAGGGACTTGATCTTATTTAGTTGAGCACCGTGTTCAAAATTCGTTTGCTCATGTTCTCGATACGACTTTTGATGGTCTTGTTCGAAAGTGATATCATATTAATCTTCTCCGCATGATGTTCTCCAAGAACGAGCTTAACCGCATCCATTATGCAAGGTTTGATGAAGTCCTCTCCTATGGTATGCGGCTTCTTGTTTTTGGCGATTCGAAACGCAACGCGATACGAAGCTTCAAGGCCAGCCTCATTTGCCTGAGAAAAGGAGCTCGATGTATCCAGGAGCGAAAGATTTAGCGCAGCTTCTTTCCTTCTAAAGAATGTAATATCTTTTCCTATCAAATGGGCATAGCTTCGTTCGAAGTGCTCTTTCAATTTACTAGGTTTCATACTCCCCGCCGTGAGCACTTTGCTGCACAAAACGCATTGCGGTTTCTCAACATTTTTATCAGCGAAGTTAGTGAAGCCCCACTGCAGAAATGCTTCTTTGTAGGACCGCTTTCCTCTGGAAGACGTATTCCCTGCAAACAATTAAGTAGGTAGATGTTATAGATATAAATCATTTATTGAAATTAATCTCGTTATTCCATGCAGGTGATATTATCGCAAACGTTCGCAGACAAATATATTTTTGTCGGCATCAAAGCCACTGAATGAAAATGCTCACCTGCCATGACTTCTCGTTAAAAACAACTGCTCATGAAAGTGATCAACATAATACCTAATGGTCACTGGCGTCCAATCTGCTGATTCTATGTTGGTTGTGACCCCAATTGTATCGTTTCTCTGCCCTTTCAAACGCCTACCGTTATCCCGATTCAGGCCCTCTCTTGACCCCATCGTGTCTGATTCCTAATCAAACATGAACATGTGTTTCAATCCTCCGTTCCACGTTATTCCTCGACATTTTCCCGACACCATTCTGTATCCATATCTTGTGAACATAATCACCCTTTCTCGCCGTTCCTATTGTCAAACGTTCACCTGTGAACATAACTGGTACTTTGACCAGTGCTGAAACGATAGTTTGCTATCCACCCTGTTATTCGACCCGGTGAACGACTGGCTTATTCGAAAACACGGCAGCAGTTGTGGCAGTCGACAAAGGCGCCATGCCGTAGTAGCTGCATTGACTGATGGCCAACTAACAATGCTGAGCTAGTTGCGATGTGTGATTTTGTTATTAAGCTTATTTCGCGACTGATATGTGACCAAATCCAATTATCGGTATTTACCCCTCAGAAAATGCCATTTTACCCCCTTGGGGGTAATTACCCCCAGGTTGGGAAACCCTGCACTAGAGGTAATTGCGTATTGACATCAATTCACACACACGTTCCAGGAAGAGTCGTTACATCACCTATATCCTGTGCGGCTCAGACCTTCTCAGATTAAGTTACATATCCTGCACTGCAGTGCAGTGCATGTGATGAAGAGGCTATAGATTTACACATGCACACATCTCCTTGTGTGGACTACCTAGGTCCAAATGTGTTAAAGACAGTCAGCATGTGTGTAGCCGAACAGTTAGCTCACTTTCTCCGACGATACCATAAAGAAGCGCAGATTTCAACAATGTGGACACTTGGAATATTCACTCCGAAGTTATTGGAGGTGTTGCCGCAAAATCGACCATGGGAAACCTTGAGATTAAAACACCTCACTGTTATAGCAGCAAGGATGCTTCCGAACTTGCTGCTCACTCAAATGAGCTGGTCTGAAATTTGCGATGCCATATCAGGGTGTTATATCGTAAAAATGGACTTCTTCATAGCGGCCAACCACTTGGGACACCACATCCTCCTTCATAATTTTCGAAGCTGTGGAGTCAGCGAACATGTGTTAGGTTGGACAAGCAACTTCATCATTCAACGTTAACTAAATGCGAAAGAAAACATGCATGTTCCGTCGTAGTTGAATTCAAGTAAATAAAACCTCCACCTCTGTATCCAGACCGCCTCCCGAAGTTAACCGTTCATTTCTTTTTGTTTGAGCGTTCACCATGTAGATCTTGAGGGAGCCAAAACTCTGTTTGTGGATAACCACTTTCTGTTGTTCCAGTCCGTTGAGTGGTCAACTTACTGAAGTTTTATTTTGTAATGTACGGCAATATCCGGTACTTGAAACAGTATTCACTCGTAGTTCTCAGAATAAATTTTCTAGTATACTCCATTGGGACTACCTGATATCTGCAGACCATTAGCACTTTTCGCATGCTAACAATGCAATAAACGATCATATGGTACTGCGGAGCGGACTCGACAGTGTGGTTACGTAGTCTTTCGTGAATCAACACCATTTCAGCCTGGCGTATTGCAAAGTTTGAGCGCACGGCAAAGACGTACTCATTAATATCGACTTAAGAGACAGCGGTTACAACGTAAATACACAGAAAGGCAATCTCAAATTAGCTGTTTAGGATCGATTCGGATACTCGAAACGGACAGAGAAAAGGTAAACACACACCAGACAACGTTTTGACTCCCAGCGGACGGCGTTCTGAAATTCTGAGATTTCATCTTTCCTTAAATGCTGAAAGCCGAGGTCAGGAATATGTGCGACGTCATCGAATTCGTGTTTCACTGGTGCTAACCTGATATTAATGCGCCGAGAGCTCGGAAAACTACGGCGACCAAAATCGTTACCGGATCGTTTCACTTTCTCAAACTCCAAGTATGCAAGCGTGTGAATTCTAACGTGGTGCATGTTGGCGTCTGTAAGGATCTTTCATCATGTGCTACCTAAACATAGCGAGCCCGAACGATCCATGTCGCAACATTTTGCCACACAACCACAATATTGAGCTGCGAAGTTACACTGCAACTTGCTACATGTTGCGGTCGACTGGATTGCAAATTCAATATTTTCACCCTTCGGTTGTCAAGGGTATGGTAAACATATAATACTAATCATAATATTCGATATATTTCTCCTTAAGTGGGAAGCTGCGTCCATATTTAGCACAGATCAACTGCGTACAAGTGGTATCATGCTTTTGCATGGGCAATGCGAATTCGTAGCGAATAAAAAACAATGGTATCTTCCTAGTCAGTGGGAGGTACAGTCCAAATGGATGTTACGATTTTTGGTTTTACGGCAGAATCGCAAGTAGCAGATGTTCTATTTTCTTAATTTTCCAAAGCAGTCTCCAAGCATTTTGGCGGACATGGTTAATGGGTCGGTAAAATATTTCGGAAGAATTGTGCGGTTTTAAAGGATAACAAGTGCAGAAAAATAAAACGTATAAGTAAAATAGTAAGACCTTTAATTGATCCGTCTTCTTGGGATCTTCTACTACGCGGGTCATCCTCTTGATGCATTTTAACCGCACTTATATGCCGCATCTGGCCGCGTGCCGGTGTGGCTTTTAAAGCAGATAAGCCCTCACTTATGCAACTCGTCTTTATGGCTATATTTGTTTGTGTATCCATCTCCATCTTATGTTGCTTAGTCTCACTAAATTACGACTTTTCAGAATGTAGATTAGCGCGAAGATATCTTATTCGCTTTAATTTTATAGACTGTCTCAGTCGGACGATGAAATAGTGGTGCGCTCCCCTTCACTTTAGTTACCTATCCGAGGGTAAATCTGCATCTGTGTTCAAGTGTATCGCTTCTTAAGTAAACGTAAACTGGTCCTTTCGCTTAGTTTCTCTTTAAAGCACGCGTTGCTTTCGTCATAAAGGACTTGCCATGTCATCGCTGTTTATGAGTTATCAATCGTTATTCATTACCTATTTTTTGTTAACTCTTGAAGTTACAGCTTCACAGCAAATTATGTAAGCAAACTAGATCAGTCTACAGCTGGCTACACTTAACGCTATCAGAAGTTATATCCCGCATGCCATACTTTCTTGTGTCTAAAAATTGAAGAAAAGATTTTTTGGTTAGATGGGCAATACTAGCATCACAGCAAATTATCTAAGTAAACTAGGTCAGTCTGCAGCTGGCTACGCTCCGCGCTATCAAAAATATATGCTACATGCTATCCTTTATTGTGTTTAAAAACTAAAGAAAGACACTTTTCTTGGATAAACAGGCCATACTAGGGGTATTCTACTATCAAATTTACGACATTATAAAACAGTGTCACAAATGTTTCCACTGAACCAGGCAGTCATGTGAAGCACCGGGATTCGCCTGCTCATGTGCTCGAAATGCCAACCAGCTCACACGATTTCATCCACAGCCATTTGCAGTCTTCTTCGTTGAGTGCTGCCGATGACGCTTCCTTCCATGCGCAATTAGAATAATATGCGCCCGGATCCAACGACTTGGTTAGCACAGTATACAACGTCGTCTGCGCTCCTTGCCATGGAGTGATTTGCAGTGGTTTTACAAGCTTCATGAGAAACATCTGGAAGTGAGGAATCAGGAGGTTGTCTAGATAATTGTTTCGCAACTAACTGTGCTTATAACTTGAATTGAGAGCAGGGAATTGGTTACAGTTACCAAATGAATACTACTGCATTTCTTGGCCTAAAACTTGCACGCATTGTGGGTACAGTATAAGATTTGTAAATGCGATAACCATTAGTTCATTGACCTTCAGATTGGACTTCCCATTCGGAACTGCAATTCAGGAGAAGAGCATGCGCATGCAAGGTGCCACCACGCTGAAGCCTGTGCTTGAAAATTGTAGTAATTATGACTCACTAAATGATGGTACACCGTGGGCGCCCGCTACCAGTAACTCGGAAATAAAGCACTGCCTAATGATTCTAACTACTGGGTACCCTCAATAAGTTTTTGCTTCTAGGAAGTTAAATAGCACAGATTTTTGATAGTGTTGCCATGGTTTTGTAAGTGACAAGTCATACTCGGTTTGCAGACGATTTTTTAGGTTGTCATATTAGTCTACCTGATTATTTCGCAGGCTGAAGACACCGTAGAGCGGATCAAGCATGCAATCGCGTATTAAATTTCACCGTCAACAAGTGGTCTGGTGTAAGAAAAAAGGAAATTCAGCGAGTTCATACCGCCCTGCTATGTACGCGGACATGTTAACTACACCTGATATCACACCTCTGAGGCAGCATTTCGGTGGGTCCATCACATCAGTTGTGTTGGTTATGTTTCTAACAGTGAATATCCAGTTCGCCGTAAATTTATCATAAACGACATTTCAATGAATCATGAATTCGCGTTATGAGAAATAGCCTGTCGCTAAAAGACGCTAGATGCAGAAGTGTTTCTGTAAATGATATTCGATACGGACTTCTTCGTCCGAGTGTTCCCAGCCATCACAGCTATCTCGATGCCTGATGAAAACATTGGACCTCCGTTTGGCCAGTGCATGTTAACATGTTTTCCGCCAGCATTTTATATTGCATTTCGTTTGGCTTTTTCTTAAAATGCATGTAGGTATTAATGTAAAAGCAAGACGCTCAGCATTATATGACGTGCGATTCAAAATCTTTTGAATATGTATATAGGATTGCAAAGATTCCCCGAACTTGCGATGAGAATGCAAGTTATTCAGCTCAATATACGCTATTGTCAGTGTTATCGAAAGTGCAGTAACGCATTTCCGTAGATTAACAATACAATATGCTTTCATGGTTACGGTTGCTGAGACCACTGTGACGGTCTTCATATTTTGGCAAATGTTAGTTATAGCCGCAGAGATTTTACAGGCAAATCAGGTCACTTTTATATATGAATCACTGCCTAGAAATTAGTAATCAAGATACGTTAGCTAAATGCGCGTATGCAATTACATTCACAGTGGAATATTTGCTAAACTAGTTAATCCACCTTGTTAACGCAGTGATTAATTTTGCAAAACATGCAAAGCTGAGGTCGTCTTTGAATTTTTGCAGATGAGGAAGTTCACTGGTACTTAAGGCGCTGCACGTTCCAGTGCTCAATTATGCAAAAACTGGGAGTGTAACATGAGGTGGGAAACAAAACAATAGTGCGAGAACGCATTTCTGTAAATTATCAAATAAAATTACACCTACATGGTTACGGTTGCTGAAACCACTGTGGCGGTCTTAATATTTTGGAAAATCTTGGTTATGCTTGCAGGTCTTTTACAAGTAAATCAGGTCACTTTTACCAAGGAATCATGGAATAACAAGTTGCTAATCAAAATGCGTTAGTTCAAGGCAAGTGCGTACTTTCATTTTGCGGAAAACTTAATCCGCCATATGGAATACAGTGATTAATTTTTCAAACGGTTCAAAGCTGGTGTCATCTTCCACTCTTAAGCAGAATTCGATGTGGAGGCTCAACAACAAGTGGGATTAACTCATCATGTGGATAACAATATTCCTGAACTTTAACACTATTCAACCTTCCTGCGGTACGAAGCTACAATAGGAACAGATTTTAATAAGATCTATTATTATGAGTATGCTTTCTTCGTCCATAATAACTCAGGAGCAAATATTACCGCGGGAACCTAATGCACAATTCAAAACGAGCAAATATGATACCAGTAGCCGTACTGCTGAAAAATATTTAAGTGGTGGTAGCTCCAAGTACCATAAGAAATACTGCTGCTCTGAAAATATACCTGCTATCGTGTATCGACGTCTAACTATCGCATGCTCGCTGGTCTCAGCCAATACATTCTTTTACGAACGTTAGCGAGGTAGACAACCACATAAGGGATCGGACATTACATTCATCGATCCCGCGTGTGTGAACGATTAGCGAAGTTTAAGTACAAAATAGTAGTGCCCAACTAAACAAATCTACAAACCAGTGACAGATGAGGTTTCAAACAGCCCTCGTGTGCGTCAGCTGATTCTATACATCCCCATGTCATTATGTACGCATGACCCCACCTTCCAGGTAACCTCCCATATAGTCAGTGACCGGACTATAATTTTTTTGCCATCACCTGACACGTCATTGTGTGTGTGGGTCGTTACAGTAGTTCAATACATTGGGGTAGCAATATTGCATGTTCAGCAGACCTGTTGACTGCCGAAGTATTGTCCTGATGAACTCCAGTGTACTATAGTGACTATGTTGCAGTCACGGTTTACTATACCGTTTCCAAGACCCCCGAACCCCACCTAATGACTTGTTCGTTCTTCTAGAGCATTTCATCGGAATTTGTAGTACTTGTTATCCGACAGAGTTATATCACAATAGTGTCATAAACTATACCACTGTGTTGAAAATGAACGCTGTGTACAATCAAATATTCCAATGTTACTACAGACGTTGGAAATCATTTACGTTTTCAACGCTAAACAGAAAATCCAGAGCCTTTGTCTGGCCGTTTATCATTTGATTACCTGATGAAATGGAGAGGTCAACTTCCGGTTATCCCTACCACACGAGAGATCGCCAAGCTGAATATAGCGATAATCCTAATGCACACAACTAGTTGATGCATACAACGAAATACATCACTGCGGTCAATAGTTCATTAGTGTATGATGAGTTAAAAAGCATTGACTTTACAAGACCCATAGGATGGTAAATGCAAAATAAATAAAAATCATTGGATTCCGACATGGAACTGGAATGCCAATAGTCTAAACCTAGTACATCACACCACAATGTGTTGTTTGTCACTCAGATGAATGTCTAACAATTGTTTGAAGGCTGTAATGTTCGGAGTGTTTACCGCATGCTTTGGCAAGTCCTTCCATTTGGAACAGATTCTAAGAGAGTAAAAATATTTTCTACAGTCTAATCGGGAGTGCTGGATTATCAGCTTAAGGTTATGACCTCTCAATCGCTTATAGGAGGCTAGGGTGAGCAGCGATTTGCACTGGTGCTCGCTTTCCGTTAATATCCGGTATGCGAGAATGAGATCTCCGCGTAGTCGTCTGTATTCGGAGGAAAACATTCCGATTAAACTGAGACGCACTTCATAATTGAGACCAGATAATCCGCGTGTTGCCTGGCGTCCGGGCTTATTAAACGCCAACTGAACACCGGCGAGGATCACTGGTCTATATTTGGCAGACGTGACAATCGACAAACATCTTCATGTGGCAAACCAAAATGCCAACGTGGACATTGGTTTTTCACCCAGCCTCTGGAACTTCTGGCTGCTCACCGACCTATTGCGACCTGAATCGAACACAAGGAGGCTCGCAAAGACATCAGGGCAAAACTCCGTGCTAGCCCAAGGAGAGAGAGTTAAATCTGGTGGTATCATCGAGCGTCGAAGACGCAAACAGCTGCTGCCTTAGGTAAGCATCAGATGTTATTCCGTCTGCTACAGGAAACGGGCAGCATGAGAGCGCGTGTTAGGGAAACCATGCGCGATAAGTGTGGACAACCGATCCACAGTTTATCAAAATGCCTAGTGCTTTAGGCAGATCGTATTGCAAACCAGGTTATCCAGACTGAGTTATCACTTTCTTTTCATGGTAGTTGATTATCATTCCTCTCTCATCTGTCGTGTTGGATCCGCTTTCACGCGCAGAAGTGGAAAGTGAGATCAGACTGCTGAAATATATTAATGTGGCGGGAATAGATGAACTTCTCCCAGCCCCCTCTAAATTCGTGCAACTTGCTTTTGTAAATGAGTTGCACAAATTGCCAGTGACGATATGGAGCGCGAGACTGTCCCAACAGACTGGAGACCCTCCGTCTAGTCCCATATTTCAACGGAGGTTCCCATTCGGAATGCGATAATCAATTAGGAATCAGTCTGACCTCAATTCATTTTAAGATAATGATCCGCCTCCCCGGAATCACACTGATGTCGCACCCAGACAGAAACATGTCTTGAAAGTGGAGGTTTCAAATTTGCTTCTTATTAGACCATTTTCCATGCTTCTTAAAGTTTTGCAAAGACTTATAAATGTGAATTCCGCCCAGTTGCTAATCTCAAGAGACCTAATCAGTCAGTCAAAACTGGCTCTATTAAAGAGCGGTCATGCCAGTCTTGCCAACTAAACTCCCTAAACCACATCACAAACTCAGTGGACAGTGGTGAATCTTATCATATTTCTTGACATACAAAAGGTCTTTGATCAAATGCTTTTGATGACTCTAGCAGGGTAGGGTATTGTCAACCCTCTTGTTTCTTGGTTTCCTTCATATCTCACTGATAGAACCCTAACAGTCACACATCCTGTCGTACCTCCGTGACAAATGGAGTCATTCAAGGTAGTGCTCTCGGACCACTTCTCTTTCTGATGTGTATAAATTGTATTTTTTACATTATTGCCCACGGTAGGCCCTACATGTTTGCGGATGATAGAAATGTATTTCACACATTTCTTCCCAGGAACCATGAGTCCTTGATAGGAAACATACAAACTGACTTGAATGCACTTGAAGGGTAATGTTGCACTGCAAAAATGAGTTGCATACAAATGTGTAATAAATGTCCAAATGCTAACATATTTGGTATACCACTTGCACATAGCAAACAAATAAGAGACTTAGGGCTTTACTATTCCAACAGTTTAAATTTCTCCGAGCTTGTACAATACACCGCCGGCAAAGCCAAGAAGAAACACCGTTTCTCATACTATGCCTTAACAAGTGCCAAACGTACACTGTACAAGAATTGTACACATAGGTTTATCGGAAGGGACCAGTCAAGGAGGCGAAACGGCTGACTACGATGGTTCAGTCTAGCAAGCGAGGTAAGCCAGTGCATTTTGGCAGCTGAAAGACTCGTTGTCATAGTAGACCCGGAAGCTGATTAAATCAGCCCCACAGCACGACACATGTTTCCATGTGACAGACGTGAGTGATCGTGACTACAGCTGATAAGTGCGAACCAGTGGCGGTTACGGAATCTCTCCAGGCAAGCGGCATGAGTCAGCTTGGAACTTACAACCGGAGATGATAGAATGTGCCCTATAAAATGAATCATATACTGTGTCAAATATACTTCGGTCTAGCAGGCTTCGGGATTTTGCGTTTTCACGGCTGAGTTGCCAGTGCAGAGAGCAGAGATGGGGCAGAGTTACAACAGGACCAAAGAGCATATAAAGCGGTGTCCGTAATATCTCTTGGTCGCACATTAAGCAGCTTCGTTGTTACCACAGAAACAAAAAAGATAAACTGACTGAATTTCTATATCCACCCTCTGAGCCTTCGTCATATTCTATCATTCCTCGGCAGTACAAACCTGAAGGACTCACTTTCAGTTATAGAGTAGCGTTAAACTGATTCCTCTTAATTCCTCCGACCAGTATTATGTTCCTTTCTTTATCTGGCACGCCAACCAAGAGGGTTTTATGCGCACACGTAAATTAAAGACAGAAGGTAAACCAAGTCCTCATTTACACTCCTTGGACCACTGTTATATACTCTAGTTCAACGGCCATACCTATTTCAAGGCCTTAAAGTCCACATCGATGCACATGAAGAAGACCAACCGGGTAGTAATCCACTTCTACCCGACGACTGTTACGCCGTTTCATTACAATTATTCTACAAATAACGATGGTTGCTATTGCTAACTCTGTCACAGATATACATACGTGTGTATCAGAAAGCCATTAAACATAGATGTACTATGTAAAGAGTTTCGCGCCTCCTTATGGCAGTTTTTGTGCACCACCCCGATACGGATCCCGAAATAATATCAGGCCCACTGACGATCAACGATAATGCTAGTCTGTCCAATTCTAATGAAGTATCAACTCGAGCAAGTGATAATTAGCTAAAATGCATGTTTAAGCATTACATGCTGCATCATATTTTTAAAAGGACATCACCACAGCAGTCTTCTCCGCTTGCAACTCCTTTAACCTGTTCACTCTCTTCCTTTGTCGAACATGTCCCTTGCACCAAGACTCGTTTAAATACTGCGGCGTTTTGTGTCGATAAAACAACGCTGGTGTATTTGCCCTTCTACATGACGAAACGACAACCCCCTAGCTCAAGCCGTTCTAGACTACAGCGCTTCGATTTCCGTTTATTTACCTCTATCACCGCCGCAATGAAAGACTACACCGCAAGCCGAGTATATGACAGTATATGACAAACACAAAATTGCTACCTTGCAATATTTTCGTGAACTACCAACCAGCATGTGATTGGTGCTGTGATCTTGAGAGTCTGTTTGACCATATCAAATGAACTGTGCTTTACCAAACTAAGATCACGCGTAACGCTTTCAGTTACTTCATTTAATCAAGAAATTTGCCATCCCATTGTACTATTTGATCGGAACAACAAACTGAGGAGTGTCTCGCGCATTCAAGAAATAAGCGAATTATTTAGTTATTTATCTATAAATGTACTAGGAGTACTGTGCGCGCATAGTTTGGGAAGGGTGAGGGTTGTGGCAAACTGTCGCCTCCCTACAATTTTTTCAACAGTATAAAAATGGTTGCCGAATATCACCACTTCTCCTTAACCTCGCCATTAACGAAGTCGTGGAAAAGCGCTTACTGTACGTGACCTACTGGTGGGCAACTACTTAATTTGGAGTATGCTGAAAACATTGCCCAAATATGTGACAGTTCCCAAAAGCGCCAAATAGCACTGGACCGACTAGCATTGGCTGTCAGTCTTTTCGGGCTATGTTTTGCACTCTCCAAATGCACAGTTCTTCATTGAGATTGGCAGGGACCCAACTCTGCGTTAAAACTTGGTGATGATCAGCTAAAAGTTTTTAGGAATTCGTGTATCTAGCCAGCTAAATTAGTGCTCTTTATAGTCGAGGTTGAGGTTCCGACAAGTTTAGTAAAAGCTTGAAGTGTTTTGCCGATTTCCACCACGTGCGGCGCCAAATTGACATCACTCTTGCCCTGAAGGGCAGAGTTTACAACTCAGCCTTCTGTTCTACCCTCCTATACGATTATGAGACTTAGCCTGTTGGATAAATAGACATAAAGTGGCTAGATACGTTCAATCATCGCTGTCTTCGCAGCTTTGGTCAGGTCTGGTGGGAGCAGTGCGTGAGCAATGCGCGTGTTAGGCTTCGTGTATTTGGTGCAGAAAGAGTACGTGAATCGCTCAACACCATTATAACACACATCAGGCTCCGATGGATGGGAAACCTATTGCGCATGCCATCATATCGAGTTCCGCAACTTGTGCTGTTTGTGAACTCGGGGTGTGGATAGAGGAGCTGTAGGGCAGGTCAAGTGATGACTTGGTCGAGAGGAATGAAAACCCTCACTTTGAAGTTGGCGTCTGTTAGTGCATCCTGGCTGTCGGGCTGCAGATCGAAGTACGATGAACATGTTGGGTTTGACACACTTGCTGAAATGTCGTAGGGCAGATCTGAATGGCGTTTGGGTCGCGCATTTCTCTGTCGATCCCTTCACTATTACATTCTTATAATTGCGACCTCATACCGAATCAAGAAGATGATATGTAACATCATGGTACTTGCTTTTTGGACTGCTCAGTAGTCTGTATTGTTTATTGTCCTTACTGTTTTTTTCGACATATTAGCTGAGGGGTGTTTCTCACCATCAACTAACGTGTACTGATAAGGATGATTGGTCCGGTCGGCTACACAACAGCGCACTGATGACATCCCTTCGACTGATGGCGAAACTTTCGCAGCAAAACTGTCGAGGTCAGTGAAACATGCGATCACCAAAACTTCGCGCACTGATGGTTTGTATTTTGCGGTCCCTTGCCAAAATACTGCTTTTAATACGAGCTATAGATGGATCAGTATTTTAACGGTCTGCAACTTACCATCGGTGAACGGAGGCACAATGACAGTGTAAGAAACAGAATCTGCAAGCAACTAGCCTTCAGTAAAATAAACTTACTGGAAATCTGGTATCTAGTACTAAGCTGTTGTGAGTAATGGATATGTCTTTGCATTCGTTTTCTTCTATTCCATTATATGTGGCTTTTACTAGTAGATCAATATTCGCAACTTGAGTTCGGATTAATACCAATCTCGCATTTGTCTAAAGGGTGTAGTGAATCTGTCTAAAACACATATTAAAAACTAGCACCTTATGAGGAAAATGTACTAGCAGCTGATTACTAGGTTTACAGCATTCAATCTATTGTGGTATCTTACAAGTGAAGGTCTTTATTTGGTGAGTTGAATAAATTGATGGGTAAATTTTGGTTAACGATTAGCTCGGAGATTGTCACAAATTCGCTTTTGCTGAAATCGCGATTCGTCTCAATGAATCAAACAGCCAGACCGCAGAAGTAAATAACAGAGTTTGCTGTACTACCGAATGGCTGCCAGAATTTTTCTCTCTGGTTGCATTCGTGCCATTTGCTCAAACTGTTGGTCCGGCAAATGCATTGGTGGTGTTACCCTTAATACTGCCTTCCAAGGATGACTGGTATTCAAATGAATTTGGCTAGTATTTCTTTGCGAAGCGTGATTAAGAACTAGATCTTGCAATGCTAGGTCTACTTAATTAGAATTATGCAAGAATAAGACATATTCATCTACTTCACTTCGTCTTCCTCTAGCTCAAAGGAACTTAGTTGGAATTGTGAACTACACCTACACAAACTCGCCGGACAAAGTGTGAGAAAGTTCTGGTAGTGCATACCGAAAAAGCCCCCGACAAGTCTCTTGCTAGCTCCGTTTTCACGATTCCCGGATGGAGGCTAACCGCAGTCACCCCAGTGCCTTGAAGACGTCGACTCAGTTCCTTCGCGTGCATTACGTTGGCAAGTTTTGACCAGTTGTATGCTGTCAAATCCGAGTATTCTTTTTCCGGTATGAAAAGGTTAGGCTTCCAAACTTTGGCGTTGTAGTGCACCATAGAAGACACGTTGATAATTCTTGATGGGGCCGCGCGTTTCAACATCGGAGTCAATAGCTCAGTGAGCAAGAATGGGCCAAGATGATTTGTTGCCAGAGTTAACTCGAATCCATCCACTGATTTCTTGATCTTAGTTTGAATAATCCCGGCATTGTTGATCAAATAGTCCAATTTATCGTACTTTGATGATATGCGACTGGCGAACTCACGGACGGACTGTAGCGAGGCCAGATCCAGCATTTCCACAACTAACTGAAATCACAAGTATAGATATAATAAGGCTAATCACAGCAACGGGAATATTCTCCTAAGCTGTGGCGTTTGACCATGAAATAGAAAGCTTAATTTTACAAAGTTGTTAAATGAACGACAGCAGAGATTGGCACTCATGCCCAGCTGATGAATAATTGTGCGTTTTAATTCATGAAGTGTTGGGCGATATTTGCAGATGTTTTCTTGACATTTAAAGCCTTCGACATGTTGTACTTTAGAAGGTGGTTCACCTAAGTTATAACAATATTTGATTTAAATCATCATCAGTAATATACGTTAGGTGCAATTTAGAAGCACACATCATCTACTGTTCCGCAATATATACAGATGCAGATATTACACAACAAAAGATTCCAAGAAGTAAGGATGTCAAATATTATGTAGTGCGTTTTGTTTGAAATCTGGATTGGAGAAGAAGCTAAAGAGAAGTGGATGCATAAAGAAACTCACAACACAAACACCATTGGGCCGATATTTCCCCACGTCAGCAAGTGTGTCAAACCAAACGTGTTCTTCCTACTTAGGACCCCAGCCAAGCAGTCGGAATGCAATAATCGACACCAGCTTCGAAGGGAAGGTGTTCATTTCTCTCCACCAAGTCATCGCTTGGCCTCCCCTCCTCCTCTTCCAACCGCACCCCGGCGCGCATACCATGCTCGTCGCGGGAGTCGATATGCTGGCGTGAGCAACACGTGACCAAGCCATCGGAGGCTCTTGCGTGATCTAATGTTGCTGAGCGGTTTACTCGCTCTTCCTGCACCAACTACGTGACGCCGAACACCCTCATCCCTCACGCGGTGCTCCCATCAGACATCAGCTTAGCTGCGAAAGCAGTGATGGTCGAACATGACGAGCCTCTTTATGTCTGTCGATCTCATGGGCAAGGTTTCAAGACGATATATAGGGTTGAACGGACGGCTGTATCATAAACTCTGCCCTTCAGAGTGAGAGTGATATCGCGCCTGCGCCACGGTGGCAGAGATCGGCAAAAGCACTTCGTGGTTTTGCTACACGGTTCGTAACGTCATCTTCGCTTCCAAGGGCGCTAATATAGCTGAGCAGGTGCTCAAATTCCTGAAGGACTTCAAGCTGATCATCAACAAGTGTTGACGCTGTGGTGCGTCCCTACAGATCTTAGAAGGACCTTGCATTTCGGTGGAGCAAAACATAGCCCAAATGTTTGACAGCTAGTACTAATCGGCCCAGTGGTGGTTAGCACATTTGCGAGCTATCGCAGATTGGAGCAATATGACCCTCATACCCCAAGTCAAGAATTCGCTCACCAGCAAGTAGCTCCACACCTTCCAGGTCGTGTACAGCGAGTGCTGTTTCCATGAATTCGTCAATCTCTAAGGTAAAGAGGTAATGTGACAGCGAACAACCTTGTCTCACACCGCTGGTGATGGCGAGGGGGCAACAGTTTGTCATAAACACTCATTCTTTTCAAAGTATGCGCGTACAACGCTCGGATAAAGATTACTCGTTTATCAGGCACACCTTTCCTCAGCAGATGGTCCCACAGGGCACATCGATCGGCTGAATCAAAGGCTCCCCTTATGTCAAACAACACGACTATGTTGGGTGGCCAATAAACATTACGGTGCTCCAACAAATAAGCAATGTGAAGATATAGTCGATGCAACCGCGACCTCGATGAAACCCGGCTTGCTCTTCACGAATCTGACTTTCATGAATGCTAGTCAATCTGTGCAGAACGGCAGATGCAAGCAGTTTAGAGGCAACTGTGATCAGACTGCTCCATCTATGATTGCCGCATTCAGAACGGTATCCTCCCTTATAAATGGGAACTATGACAGAGAGGCTCCAGTCTGTCGGGATAATTTCCTGCTACCAAATTTGCACAAACAACACGTATACATGATGTACTAAAGCAGATCCCCGAATAAGAAGAGGGCTGGAGGGATTCTCTCTGCCCTGCGGTCTTAGGCAATGGCAACTGGTTGAACTCACGTTTGATGCCTATGGGTGAGAGTGGCTCCAAGGAGACGACCCAGAGAGAAGGGCGCAAAGCATTGTGTCCAAAGCTCCAAGCATCTTGACGGGCTGTGTATAGGCTGTTCACTTTTGTAGCGCATGGTCTCGCTAAAATCAAGTCTCCTACTGTCTGTTTCCCACATCAGACGGAATAACTTACAATGATTACTAACGGCAGTGGATGTAATCATCCCCGATGCACGATGAGACCACCAGAATTTGCGGTCTCTCTTCAGGTTAGCACGCAGTGGATTTAGAATAGAAAGGTTTAGTACTCAGGCAGTGGAATCTGGAGCGATGTTTACGATAAGATATCCGAGTTCCATGTTGTATAATGACCTGATAATTTTCTTCAAGAAATTGATCTATTTTGTTTAGCCTACCGGTCCTTTATCAGCACCGTCGTTTAACAGTAAATTATGAACATGGTTTTCATTCCTTTTTTGAATAAACACAGAAAATTTCTATTGGTTATTAGGTCGGTCGTTGTTGGTCAGTAATTAACTCACCGAAATGTATAAAAATATTGCTCACTTGTGTCATGTTCTGTATTGCATTGTGCTTACTCCACCTTTCAGAAGAAACGAATGTTCATGATTTCTTAACCTAACTAACCTCCTGAATTCGGTGATGTGGTCCTTCTCCCTGGTTAGTGTTTTGTTCATAAAGAGGTGTTAGTGCGAATCTAGTAACTCAAGGTGAGTTTGACCTTGATGATGAGTCGAAGGTCATACACTTAGGATGAATTGTAAACATATCCTCCTGAGAAAAATCTTCATCAAAACGAACAACACACCTATTTTTATTGGTTAATGACGACGATATCAAGTCTGAACTGTTGTCCGTTATATGCGCTATTTAATTTCTGTCCGCATAGAGTCTACCTACAAAGAACACTTACGTTGGTTCCTTGTCTCGCAACTACAAAACTACATTCTAACAGCTGGCGTAGGCTCCACCGGATACACATCCAACAATCCATCTGTACTTTCCGGGTATCCGTACCTACTGCAGTAGTGCTAACCCAAGTGACAAAATGTGTTTCCACCCATGTTAGGTAGATAGTAGTCATTTAATGTTTTCCGTTTAATTGACTGAGACCAATCTTGCACTACACCTATGAAACTGTCAGAAAGAATCTATATACAATCGCGGAGATTGAACAGGTTTGCATATGTGGAGGGCTACAACGAGCACCCACGTATTTGGCCAAGGTGACCAGAAATATTTATTTGGAAATTAAGGAATAGGGATCAAGTCATGTATATCAAACCTTTAATAACGCATTAGAACCTTGCATCACACCCCATGATAGTCTGACAACATATTATCAGTGATCACCGCAGTGACTTATTCAGAAGCAACTCTATAAAACCCACCTGAAGAACAACACCAACTGGTCAAAACTCACCTGGTCTGGTTGCACCACTGACAGGTATTGAATAACTGAGGAATCCGCAACATCCAGCTTGACACTATCTGGTTTAGATGGCCCATATTTATCTAAGATCCGATCAACCGCGGCTTGCGCCCGCTTCAGGTCACGACACGCCATAATCACCTTGCAACCCCGTCGTGCCAACTCGGCGGCTGTCACTTCCCCGATTCCCGTACTGGCTCCGGTGACCACGGCTAACTTGCCATCCAGCCGACCCGGTGCGGTGCACGTTCTGTGATACCATCCTTTCACATCGTTGGTCCCTTTGTTTTTAGACGCCATTTAGAAAGAGAGGCAGTTCGCTTAGCACAAACCGAGACAATTTGCTTGTCTATTAGAAGAGCGTTGAAATGTTGAATTATTATGGTTACAAAGACACGCAGCGTCTCATCTACGGATCACAATACAAGCGCAGTGCGTTGCATGCGAATACGACAGACCAATCTATATCCATTCATGTTAATCGCTCATGGGTGCACAATGCGACTGTAACAAATCACGTAAGGTACAAAAGGTGCACAATTGCACGTGTTGTCACGCAAAGTAATAGGCGATGCTGGCTGGCTGGTTTCCTGTCTGTAGTCTGCATCGGCACGTCAGCACTAGTGTTTATATGGCATTCAAAATACGCAGCGTATGTAAAGCAATCCAGCCTAAATCTGGTATTCTCAATACTGAACGTAGGTAGACATTGCAAAATCTGCATCAGTGTTTACCTAGAATGTTAGCTTCATTATTACTAGCATGTGTGAATGCCAAATTCCAGAGGAGCAGTAGGGGGAGCTAAATGGTATAGGTAGATAATCGTCACGTCTACAGACCGTCCGGAAAACGTCTACCTATTTTCAATAATGCATCGGAAAATGCCGCACATTCCGCTCCCCGAGAAAACCTCGAGGAATTCTAACGGCAGCCCGGATAGCCAATCGGATCTCACACAATACACCGACGCACACAATTGCGGAGTCTGCCTATCATAAATTCCCCAGCGCTGCATGTTTCTTTAAGACGAGGCGCAGACTATCCACATGTGGACGATCGATACATCCTGGTCTGTGTTTGAGGTCAAATGGTTCGAGGAACACTGGATGCGTGTGGGCTCTGTACTGACGGATGTTTGGCCGTAGCACGGAAGTAACAGATACGTACAGGGGTTATGTACTAAAATCAGACGTCGTGTTGTCGGACGAATGTAAAGGTGATGCACAAGTGCCGCACACCTGAGCAACAACTTTTCGACGTGCCCGTATTTGTATCATAGTTTATGTTAAAACACAGTTATGGTGGGCATGCCGGTGGACTGAAAACAAGCTTCTAAAGAACCACTGTAGGAAAAAAGACACCACTCAAATAAATCTTTCACATTAGGAATAAAAATGACTTCTTAGAGGAGTAAGTTCTCTCGTGTATCATTTTGCTTTCCTGTTAAGTGAGCAGTTCTATCTAGAATTTCTCTTTCCTAAATAACCTGCGATACTTAAAAATTGCCCGGCTGTTTCAGTTCAGTTCAGTTCAGTAGATACACCATGATCCGGGCACCAAAGTG